GCTTTTTCAAGCAGTGGTCTTTCGGGCAGGTGGATGTCTTCAAACACCTAGGAAAACAAACAAAGCACGCTTATCTTTCAACTCGGAGAGATAACACTGAAAGAATGAGTATAGAAAGAACTTTGAGTTAAGGATCAATCTCAGACTGACTTTAATAAGCCTCACTAAAGGCTTTGGCAGTCCTTCCGCCCAGCAATACCGCTTAGCATTTGGAACAGAACATATTTCATGTCATTCCTTTGAAATGATATCTTCGTTAAGGTAAGACAACACAATCTCGTTTCGTTTTCTTTAGTGAATGACTATGGAAAGAACGCTCAACTGTTACAATTCTTAACAAAAAAAATGGTTGCGAAGTCCACTGACCTTACATCAAATTAAATTCTTATGAACTTTTCATGGGAATATGGTAAATCCCCTTGAGAAAACAATACTGGATTAAAAATTAAAAAATAATAATGATTTGAATCATTGCTTTTCTTAAAAAATATATCAGTTCCTGTCAATTCTAACACCCTAAGGAAACTCGTGATCAGTTCATTTGCCGCAATTCCTATACACAGGTCCTTCTTTCTAGGCAAGAAATGCAAAATAAGATTCATTTTTTTCCTTACCAGAACGAAGCTACTGAACATGACTGTGAAGAGAATGAACCACTCCAAGTACTTGTGTTCCACAAGACATCTAATGCTACACCTGAACTTTAGCCATTTAAAGTGCTGCCTTGAGAACACAGGCAACATACAACACTCGGGCAAACAGTCGTCTACTTCAACGATGTACTTCGGAGGAATTCCTTTGGGCGACTGGCTAACAGTGGATACTATTTCTCCTCGACCTGAGAGGAGTACGTAATAAACTGGGATGAGAAATTCGGCTAGCATACTTTAGATATTATGTAGCAATTTTCTACATGACGCTTTCTCGTCTGAACGAAGTTGAAATTGACCATTGTTTCGTGTTGTTTATTCTTAGTAAAAAATTTATTTATATCATTAGAACAATTATATCTCATCGCACAAGGTCGACTGTTTCTAAAGCGTAAAAATGAAAAATAGAGCCTTTTACTCGCTTGGCCAGCAGCTATGAAAATTTATTGGAACAAAAGACCCACAGGACTGGTTTAAAACACCAACATGGCCACCTTTTCATTGGTTCGGAACACCAATATGGCGGACGTGACGTCATGTGAAATCGCTCTATTCAGACATTTATATCTTATAATCATACACACCTTCCTGAAAGCTCCCGGATGTTCTGACTGAACCCCCACGGTAAGGTTTTCTCAGAGGGGTCCCCTGGGCTGCCAGGTTACTCTCAAGCAGCTGCACTTCATACAGTTTGTATCGTTCTTTAAAAGTAGCCACAAATAAGCGTGTCTTTTTGGTCTTGGTGAACCTCTTTATAAGCTTCTTCAGTCTCGAATTGTTCCCTTCATCTTCGTCTAGGTTATTGTCGTCGTCTTCGGTGTCAAAAGCGCTCAGCAGAAGGGCGATGAAAAGGTTAAGTACCTGAATTGAGAAACATAAATGTGAGCGTCTCCAGAGTTTTTGATCCTCTCGGTAGGTGTTCATCCGGCTATTATCCGGGTAGATGAAACTATAACGGACATTACTATTCTCTCCAGACGATTAGTTTCTCTGTTCAATGATTTCATACTACTTATGATATCATTGGTGTTGGACTATCTTGACTCTTTAGGGGATTATTAGTTAAGATATAGAAGTGAAAGCTTGTGCCCCTATTTTAAAGACTATTTGCTCCAATGTAGCTCTCATACAAATTTCCTAGTCAAAGCAGCGGTCATCTCTTGCTCTCTTTTGTATTCTGCTGCTCTTGATAAGATCGCAGCAAACTTTGGGGTCTGTGATTTCAAGTTAGACTCATTCGATTCGGACCAGGCTACAGATGAGGCTAGTCATGCTAACGGCTCCTAACAAGGGGCAATCAGTAGTCGATGGCTGCGCCTGCCCTGGTGATATGGCTGTGCGCATGCGTAATGTACTGCCCATACCGCTGAGCTTGGTAGTGTTTTGGGTGTACTGAACTTTGTTCCTTGTCACTAGAAACTAAGCCTGTTTAAACCGTGTTTACGTGAGAACAGCCATGCAGTCTTACAAAAGGAACGTTCTTGGAATAACACCTTTAATGACTCTGTAATACTTACGATAAAATTTCCGATAACAAAAGCCGGCAAAAAGAACAAAATAGCCATAGGATTAGTGGCTCTCATGCAATCCCAGAGTGGCTCGATCCATTCCCCGCACAGCACTCTGAACATCATCATAAACGCGTGCCAAAAGTCATTGAAGTTCCAGCGTGGTACTCCATCAGTTCCAAACTTGTCTGTCGTGTAAGCGTCACCAAAAACCTTTATTCCCACCACAGCAAATATGTATATAATGACTCCAAGAATAAGAGTGATGTTTCCAACAGGTCCTACGCTTTTCGTTATGGCCGTCACTAGTTTGGCCATTGTCTTCCAAGACTGTGCGAGGTTGAGAACTCGAAACTGAAAAGAAAAAAAGGGGAGAAAAGTAAGAGTGTTTCTTGGTGTTGCCTAAATCGCCGCTTTAGAAATAAGAAGGGAACTGGGCCTAATAAGCTTTGGCAAAGACTTGGGGGACTGTTACTGGAAACAGGAGAATAAATGGCTAATAACTGACCGCCGCGATCAGGTTCGTCACTAACCTCGGAATCAGATCTAGATACGAGAATATTTCCTCACATGAGAAGTTCGATGTTTGACCAGGGCACTCTCCCCCCTGTAATCTTAGTCATTTCACAGCGCATTTGAACGCGTTTAAACTGTTACAAAGCAAGACATACCAGCCTCAAGCTACGGAAGATACTGAAGCTTCCACCCGACTCTGTTAAATACCCAGCAACACTTGCGATCACGATAAAGGCGTCTAGGATATTCCACCTGCTCTTTACGTAACCAACTGGTCCAAAGGCAATAACTTTCCATATCATCTCGGACACAAATATTATCGTGAACACCTACGGGTGATATCAGACAAAAGACAACTTTTGGCACCATGTGAACCAGCTGTAACACTACTAAGCCGGGAATTCCGTGTTGTTTAAAAAGAGGATTCTCATGTTAAAACAGCATGAATTGATAAAGTCTTAAAATTAATAATCTTATTTTTTGATTTGTTGCCTCTTTTAATTTAAGTCGACTCATTCTTATTATAAAGATTACAGTTGCTAGGCTATAATAACAGATAAAGCAAAATCACTCTGCTATACCACTGTTACGTACATACCCAAGTAATTTATTAAACTGGCAAAAAGTGCTGGGTTATGTCATACTGTCTAAAACCTTCGTCCCCTGTCGAGCAGTACAAGGAAAATGTAATGAGCACCAAGGTGAAGGCGAGCCGATAGCTTTTGGTCGCTCTCTATTTTCACGTCTGAACTACACCATAAAAGGAGTTTCAGAATGTAGGGCAGATAAATGGTTAGTTTTTTAAAATATATGTTCCTGCGTGGAGGAAAGGTACTACAATGAAATAAGTTTACTTTTAATGGAGGAATTGGCCATGTGACCATTAAAAGAAAGCTAGTTTAGATCATAGCTCTTTTCAGATTAAGTCGATGCTTGATGTCACATACCGAGGCTGACGGACCTATAAACGGGTTATTTTTACATCGGAGAGGATTCCTCAAGGGATCCAAGAGTAAACTGAAGAAAAATGCGTCTAATTTTCACCCTCTTTTGTTTTTCAACATTCCATAGTGACATTGGTGGCATTACCATTGTCTACAACCTCTTTAATTACCGGTATGTTTGTTTTCGAATGCGCATTTCGAATTAGTTGTTTGTAGTCATGATAGGAACAGTAACGTCTTGAGACTGCGAGGTACAAGGTTTTACTTCGAAAAGTAGCTTTTACGGCGGTATTATAACTGAACCTTCAGAAAACTAGCAGGAAACGTAGAATTTTTGCCTTCGAAGAGAACGAGCCAGAAGCTGCAATTTTAATTTCAAGCATTGTTTGATATATTTAACAGAAGGACCATTTTGGCGAGGTATCTTTGCTGTTAAAGACAACGACTTTCAAAGAGGAAATGAGGCACGAATACCGCAAAATACAAAGAAGTTAACCTGTCCTGGAGTAGACGAACGTAGGACGATTGGGTGAAAGAGTGGAATAGTTTACCAAGAAATAACAGCGACACGCAGGTTTGGAATTTTTAGTAAAACTCCTGACGTCATTCTACTCTGACTAAGCAAGTTTGCTTCGGAAGTCATGCCTTAAGATTATGGCTAATATTGTTTAAACTTACTCTTTTAAAAACTATTTACTGAGTTATAGTGTCCGGTGTTAAACAACACTTGAACAAAAACTTATTCATAAATAACAAATTAAAATGCCAGGGGTTTTACATTAATATGCAGGGATATGACGTATTCTCTTTGCATATAAATACATAACCTCCCAATCGGTCCCACTCCGCATTTTAACTAGCTGTCCATTGGCACTCGGTGTTCCTTTCTTTTTCCAGCACTGAGCCTTTCAGACAATTGTTTTAAGGGTTATGTGATATAATCCCACCGGTTTAATGTAAAAATAGTTTACGGATGCAAATGCTGGGAACAATAGCAACACAATGGTGGGAGAATCGGTTTCCCACAAATGAGGACAGGGATCGAATCCCTAGCTCGGCGACGCCATAACGGCTATATCTGGATTGATTTTGTTAATGATTCTCTTCTTGGCTCCTGGCTCCGAGAGGTTTTTTCCCTTCTCCTCAAATACCCACCCCTATATGTGGATCATTGCTGCTGCTAAATTAGTAATTTATATTAATTATTCGATTTTTCTATTTGTTTTATTTTAAATTATCATCTACTTTCTATCACCGCCCCCGACCTATTACGGATAAAACGAAAGTGGGCCAGCTAACGTAGTAGTGCGCTTAGAACAGTGATGTATAATTAGCGCTATATAAATTCCATTATTATTATTATTATTACTTAGTAGTATTCTTCATACCATGTTGCATAAGTCCAGAACTTTCTCGAACTTCTTTTCAATTCCATGATGATAAAGTGCTAGAACTATGGTGTTCAGCATTATAACTCCTATAATAACTGCGTCAAAAGCTGCACATTCGGCTACAGTGCGCATGCGTTTCCGAAGCGACTTTAGGAACGGTATCCTGCTCAAACAGTTCTCGCATGTTGTTTTCACGAAACGAAAACATTCACACACTCTTTCAACGAGCGTTTTTTGATTACGTTTATGTTCATTTTCAATATCAGGAACGTCAGTAACAATGCATGCGGTTTGTGCTACTTCAACCATCGCTTCTTTGGTCTTACGGAGCTTCCGCAAAGGCCTGAGATTCTTAAGGGTGCTAGAGTCTGCAGTGTATGAGGCAGCGGTTTTCCTCATGAGCTCTTTCCGCCTCTCCTGGAAAAAGAAAGCAAAGCGCAAATGTATTGTGTAAAGGAACATAAAGGCAGAGAAGGTTAGTAATAGTTCTAAGTATAAGAATATCGGTCATTCCTGAGGAGGATAAAAACGCGAGGAAGTAGTGTATCTTGAAATTACTCTAACATGTACAATGCTCAACTCTTTGAAAATAGCTTTCTAGTTATCTTCGTGGTTGGTCAAATAAAAAACAACGACTCGGGTAGGCGTCATTTTTTTCCATTTTTGTGATTGGTTAAAACACATAAAAACACATTCACGCTCAACAACAATTCTTTTAAAAATTGGTGTCAGGTAAAGGCGTCGATTTCTCCGTGCTTGGAAAAAAGACAATTCCAGGAGAATTCTGACAAATGATTTAAACATCTGGTCTGAACAAGTAACTGATGAGCTTTGTCGTAGCACATTGACAAAATTCAACAGTGAAAGAGTGATATACGTATATGTATGTCTAGTCTGTTATATCTCAATCAAAGAGATTTCATGAAAATTCGTAAATATGTACGTTCCATCTGTTAGCATGCGCATTCCTTAGCATTCTTTGTTTTGCTACCGCTTTTGACCAATTACTGTTTATTGTAATTTATTTATTCAATGATATTTCGAAGTGAGCTCTGTCGGTGTGTTTCTCGTTACTCTCAGAAAAAATATGTTTAAATAAAAAAAAAAATCACCATTTTTACTCTTTCAATGGTCTGTTTAGTACTTGCTTATTAGCCTTATTAACAAATAAAACGACTTCGGCCGTCGTTGACTAACCTCCTGTTCAATTGATTCCATTTCTTTTTCGTAGGACATATAAACCACAGCTAGGACAAGATTGAGGAGGTAGAAGGAGCAGAAGAAAATGGTAATGACAAAGTAGAATACATACCACACACCAAGCGCCTTGACTACCTGTGGTTAATGAATTAGACAGCGAGCATTTATTCCAGAACTGAAGTGGAGGCAAATATCCTACTCTTCAGCGGATTGATAAAGTGAGTTAATGATTGTTTTAGCACTAATCCAGTAAAATAGCTGGCCAAAAATTATAGTTTTAGTTTTAAAGGATAAGAGATGGAGAAAAGCGCTGTACACTGGTTTAATATATAACATCATAACCTTGGTATTAATAACCAAAGTGAGTGCGGTAAAGGTAACACTGGTCCGCTGAAAGTTTTTTAAAGCCAGTGATGAAAGACAGACATACATTCCGTTTAATCAATCTACAGAATTCGACGAACACTGTTTCGTAAAACTAATCCATGACCTGCTTATTGCCGAAATTGTTTAGGTCATTACTTTTCATGTGATAGAAAAATACATACATCTAGTTAGAGCCTGTTTGATTACCTTGTTGTAAAGGTTTTCCCAGTAATCCATAGTGAGAATTTGGAAGGCCATCAACAAAGCCCATCCAATGTTATCAAAGCTGGTGAAGCCATGATCGGGGTTGGGTCCAGCGTTGGCCATACAGGTGTAATTAGCTGGACAAGACCTGAAGAAATAATTAACATTTATCGCATTGAGGTGTACAAAGAGGTTCTCTATTATAAGCTTGTGTGACGAGATTTTATGCAGAGAGAGTAATGATTCAACTAATGCAGTGCTTAATGCAGGGATTTGCTTAGCTTGGCTACGTCTAGATATTGCGGGCGACAAGAGGAGCCCGCAATCCTAATCTTCAGGTTGTTATTACGCATGCGTCGCAAGTATGTAGCCAGCATTCGTTTGGACTTCCACTAAGAAAGAATGGAATGCACAGAACGCAATTTGATCACGTACGTTTGGACCTTCTATCACTAGTAATCTGATCACGCGTGTTTTGACTCTCTCACGTGAAACTTACGCAAAGCACAGCGATAGAGCAAAAGCGTTTTCACCTTCGATCGTTGTCGCCCGCACTCCGTAACCTTTGGTTATTGCTAGTATATTTACTACATAATAATCCTGATTAGAGATAAGATATCACATCGACTTATCCTTCTTGGTAGACTTTTAACTCACCCGGCCCAAGATGAGTTCCCGCATATCACTGCCTCACCGTGACGCAAATACCAAACACCTTAAAAGAGAAGTTAGTTTTCTTAAGCTTAATTATGCATTGCCGCTAAGTCTATTTGTCCATTTGG